TTAAGTGTATCGTAAAGTTCTATTCGGAAAGAATAAACCAGTTTTATTAAGTAAGGACTTGTGTCATTAAAGTTTCGTCGGAACGAAGTTACGGAAAGTTAATTAACAAACGTAGACGTAACAGTAGATAAAGGTCACCTACATGAAATTAGAGTAACTAGTAAATTATTTGAAGGTGCCGACATGTAAAGTCATAGCAAAGACGGTCTTTTTTAAGATTAGCAGTATTTTACTCTCCGAGAAATTTATTCGGAAATTTCTATTTTCCGTTAAATATATAAATCAATTACACATAAATAATCGTGATTTTTAAATAATTTTTCCAGCACTCTTATTTACATATTCAGGAAAGTGATACATTCTTTCTTTGTGCTTTCATTCATATTGATAAATAGCTGTGTAAATAATGCTTCTTTGCTGTCATCAATATAGTTATATTATGGTGGGTTCTCTTTTTTATATATACTGTGTTGTTTGCATATATAATCACTCAAGTCTTAACTACGGACATAAGTCATGAAGTGAAGGGAATTTGACTTTTTATCAAGTTTTGAAACTCAATAATATTTGAAAATAATATATTTTTAAAACGATTTGGAGCTGAAGAATATGCACAATATACATCTTATATTGTCAGTATTTTAGACTATAAGGCATATATCTTTGTATTAGCTTTACATTCAACAATACCTTAATATAAAGTATTAAGGCTATAAACGGGGGACAGAAAAACTTCCTGACAAGATTAATTATTGAAAAATAAATAAATAAGACACGACAGTAGTGGATAGTAGGTGAAACTAAACCATAAGAATAGTTTTAGTTGGACAGTAGGTGAGAAAAATTGCAGTAAAGAAAAACATTGTTTTCACGCGAACTTGGAGCTGAGCAATAAGTCAAAGGAAAACGTTTTTAGTGTGACTGGTGGCTAAATAGTCTCTCAAAAAACAACGATATCTTCAGAACTCGCGTTTGAACTGTAAGTTAAAACGTTCTCATTAGAGCTTGAGGTTAACGATAAGTCAAAATAAAACGTTTTACTAAGAACTTGAGGCTTGACCGTAAGTCAA